TGAGGAGGAGGAGAAGAAGAAGAAAAAGAAGAAGAAGAAGGAGAAAGCCAAGGACTCAGAGGAGGAGGAGGACTAGTGCTGCAGTGTGGAGCTGGAGCTGGGCTGGGCTCCAGCCGATGGACTCAATGGACTAGCAGCAGGTCAGCTTGGCCACCGGCCTTTGGCTTCGTGGCGGCCGCATGAACTTTGTGTTTGGCCCCTCGGCGGTTGGGTCGGTCCCTCTGCCCCCCTGGGGCTGCGTTGGAGCGTCGCTGGCCCTTGCACAGCGGCCATCACCCCCCCCATCCCACCCCGGGGTGACGGAACCGCAATAAAGGGCTGAGGGGGTGGTCGAGCCTTTTCTGTCTTTGTTTTGCTGCTTCAGCAGGGTAAGGGGGGGCAGAGATGGGGAGCCGACCCCCCTCGTGCTGCGGGGGCCGCATTCGTTAGCGGAAAGTGATAAATTACCAGCGGGAGGTGGAGGCCCTACGCGTCCAGGGCGGCGATCACAGCTTGGGTGAAATCCAGGGAGGTGGCGTAGCCCCCCATGTCTGCCGTGCGCACCTGCAAGGAGAGGGAGCATCAGCTGGGAGGGAGGGGCTCCCCCAGCACGGTGGGATACACACACAGACACCCCCCCCATCACAGCGGGGACCCCTGAGGGCCTGTGCAGAGTCCCCAAGGTGTCCCTGTGCCTCGGGGAGGGGGAGATCCGAGCTGTGGTGCCCCCCAGGTGTGTGCACAGGCTTCACCCCCCTGCTGCAGGAACGAGGCAGGTTTTGAGGGGTGCAGGGGGGTGGGAATTGAGGATTTCATGCCCCCTGCCCCCTCCCACCCCGGCAGAGCCATTCCCCAGGCTCACCCAGCTCAGCTGTCTGGAGGGGAGGGTGAGGGGCTCAGCCCTGGCCCCCTCCTTGCTGCCCATCCACCTTCTGGCCCCACCAAAACCTGCCGCGGTGCCCCCCGCTCCCCTCCAGGGCTTGGACAGGGCAGGGGCAAGCGTTGGACCCTTTTTATTGCGCAGATGAGTACACAGCACAGCACAGCGTTACACCCGGCCCGTCGCTCGATCTCACACAGCCAGGGCAGAGCTGGGCCTCGGGGGGGCCCCAGGAGCCCCCCAGGACTCCCAGTGCAGCCGTGGGGCCTGTCCTGGTACAAGCAGAGGTGCTGCCCTGCATGGGGGGTGGGGGTAGATCCCCCCCCAACCCTGCACCATTTCCCAGGGGCCTGGAGGTGATGAAACCTCGCAGCTTCCTCCCCAGGATGGTGCCAGAACTGGGACCCTCTGCCCCTTCCTGGATGTGGGCCCCGGTTTGTTATTGCTAAAGCTGCCAGGGGCAGGAGGGGGCTCCTCCAGCCCCCCCCCCGGCCCCTACAAGCTGCCTGCAGAGCGGGGGGCACAGCCCCTGCACCCCAACATCCCTGTGTGACCCCAGAGCCTCGCTCTGGCCCCTCGGTGCCTCCCGCCAGCCCTACTGGGGGGGGGCTGCCCTCCTCCTCCTCTCCTGGGGCCCCTCGGCCGGGCGAGGAGGGGGAAGGCCGTGCCACTGGGCCATAAGGGAAGCTGCTGCAGGGCGCCGGCCCGGGGGCGAGCGGGGTTCCTAGGAACCATAGTGGGGGTGCAGGTTGTCAATCACAGACTTGACGAAGTCAGAAGTGGTGGAGTAACCGCCCAAGTCCCGTGTCCGAACCTAAAAATCCAACACAGGGAAGGGGTTGGGGGGAGAAACAAGGGAGAAATGTGATTGTGAACCAGTACAAGGGCTGCGGGAAGGGAGAGGAGAGCAGCTTCCCTCTAGGCCCCCGGCTAGAGACCCCGCGAGGAAGTGGCCACCCCAGGGCCTTCCCTGGCCAGTGAGCAGCGCCCGAGCGAGCCCCAGGAGG